ATTAGGATAGTGTCTCCCAAAAGGAGCTTCCGTGAAAAGGTCACAAAAAATGCGAAAGTTAGAACTTTTTCTTTTCTTTTCTTTTCTTTTCTTTTATACAAACCTGTAATAAGTTTGTATCGAATCTATAATCGATTATTTATTTAATATTTAGATTATTTTTATGAAAATATTTAATTAAATTGTAAATAAAAAAAATCACAAATTTAAAAAAAAATTCCACAATAAATCTATCAATCAATAGATTTATTTTGGATTTTTTTTCTTTTCAAATTTGTGATTTTTTTATTAAAATACTAAAAGAATATTAATTTAGAAATGATTACATCAGTGTATCTCATCAGACTTGATAATTCAAAATAAAATAACCAAATTCAAGAATAAAGAATTATTTTTCACCTATAACCAATCTTGCCGCTTGTAACTGTTCGTTTTCAACTACAACCACAATTCAGTTTATTTAATTCAATTTGATTTATGTATACGCTAAAGAACTTCTAGACTTAAAGCAGACAGATTTGAAAATCCAGCTCCCGGATATAAAACCTAATTTTGAGATTGATACTGATGAAACAAGAAAAGAATTTCATTCTTCACATATTATGTTTCTAAATTGATTTGTGGTTATTTGTATTATTATTATTTTTTCTGGTTGACACATTTTAAAAGTCAATGTTTCGTCAAAAGAAGTTCAATCGTTTAGAATAAGCAGCAAAAAAACAAAAAAATTAGGTACCACTGGATTCTTTGGTCCTTTCTTAGTATTAATGCAAAAAATCTTTTTTTTTTTCCTTTTTTTTCTCTCAAAAATGGATCTCAAAGTATTAGCAGAAATACCGACAATCGCAGAAAATATTTGGATTCCTGTTACTAAAAAGAACGTTGAATAGAGTTTGATACCTAAGCATACGATATAAATCAGACTTTAGAAGAAAAATTCAATTGTAATTTTAAAAGATACGGTTTAAATATACAGAATTATACGGAATGTAAAATATACGGAATACGATGTCAATACTGAACAGAAAGTACTTCAATAATTTTTTTTAAAAAAAATTAATGTGCTTAAAATTTGAAAAGGAGTAAAAATAATTGCTTTTTATTTATTTATTTATTTATTCATAGTGGGATACAGATTTTAAAGCATCAACAAAAATATCAACATGAGAGGAAGATTTTTGAATTCTTGTTGATAAAAAACATTGGGTGGAGTTTGATACCTGGACAAACTGATAAAAATTTAATTGTAATTGTGAAATAAACGGCAAAAAAATCGTATCAGTGAAAAGCAGAAAGTATTCTAATAATTAAAAAAAATTCATTTTAATTAAAATTTCAAAAAAAAAGAAAAAATTTTTCTTTTTTTTTTTTAAATTTTATTGACATTTTGATTAAAATTTTAGAAAAAAATAAAGAATTTTTTTTTTGCTAGCATAGAGTTTAAAGCAAAAAAAGCAACAAATTATCAGAAAAAAAAAAAAAAAAAAAAAAAAAAAAAAAAAAAAAAAAAANAAAAAAAAAAAAAAAAAAAAAAAAAAAAAAAAAAAAAAAAAACATTAGTAGAAAATATTTGGATTCTTGTTGCTAGAAAAACGTTGGATGGGGTCAATCCAATCGTGTCAATGCAAAGCAGAAAGTATTCTAATAATTAAAAAAAAATTAATTTGCTTAAAATTTCAAATAATAACAAATAAATAAATAAAATAAAAAAACTCTTTTTTTGTTGTTGCTGAATATGGATTTTAAAGCATCAACAGAAGTATCCACAATAGACAATAATAGAAAATATTTAGACTCTTGTTGCTAAAAAAATGCTGTATGGAATTCAATAGTTAAATATATGATATAAAGCATAAATTAGAGTTAAAATTTGATTGTACGTAATTGTAAAATTAAAGGCAAAAAGTTAATGTAAAACAGAAGAGGTTTTAATTATTTTTAAAAAAAATATTTCTTCACTTGCTTAAAAATTTAAGAAAAAAAATTATGAAACATATTTTTAATTTTTTTTCCATCCAAAATGTCTTGATTTTTTCATCTAAAAACAAACATGTCTTCTACAATCTAATGTAAATGGTATGCCTGATTTGATCTTTAGTTTTGGCAACGCTATAGGGCTTTGATTCCCCCCTTTTCCCTGTGAAATTTTTTTTCTACATCCCTGTCCACTACAATTAATTTATTATTAATATTTACAACTACAATTATTAATTATTTTACTGTATTCAATTACTCTTTTTTATTTACTTAAAATTATTCAGCAAAATCGTGAGATTATTTTCATTTTTGGGATTTTTTCATTTTGTAAGATATTTTTGAAATCAAACATTAAAATGGTGTAGTTTCGAATTGTATAATTTAACGATTTTAAACCAAAATGATTATTTTTAAGAGTTTTTTTTTCTTCTCAGCATGCTTGTGCTACGTATAAAAATTAAAAAATAAAATAAGTAAAAAAAAACTTTTATAGCAACAAATCAGATAAATTTGAAATTAAAATAAATAAACAAGTATGTATCTGGGAAAAAAAGTAAAAACTCGTAAGAATTTCGTTTTAAAAGAGATGGAAATATCTTTATTAAGTTTCACATTAGAATGAGAAATGTAAATCTGGTGTCAAGAATCTATAGATAGCATTATATTTATAGTAAATAAAACATTCTGATATTTACTTTATTATACTATATTACGTTATGCTTACTATGTACTATTTCTGTTTTTACTGTATATATTCAAATAACATCTGATAGTTAGCTATATATAAAGTTTCGACAACCTTTTTTCATTCGCATATCAGTTGAAAATTTTCTCCAAGGCGATCATTTTTTCAAAACATGAGAAATGAATAACTTTTTGACTGAATTCATAAAATATATTTATTATTAAAAATTATTAGTAGCTAAATGATAATTCGCATCAGTAGACAGAGATTATTTATTAATTGATTTTTAATGAATATTTCATCTAAAATTTAAAATTTATTAACTTAATAATAGATTACAAATTTCAATTGAAAGAATCCAATAACTGAGAAAACCTATTGAAAGAAATAATAGGTCTTAATTAGGTGAAAGATCTATTGAATTTTAAAATCTATGAACAGAAAAATGTTTTTTCAATATTAAGTGAACGAATCCATTGACTGAGAAAATCTATTAACATATATAATACATTTTATATATCAGGTGAAAGTATCTATTAACAGAGAAAATCGATTAACAGAGAAAATCGATTAACAGAGAAAATCTATTAACAGAGAAAATCTATTAACTGAGAATATCTATTAACAGAGTAAATCTATTCACAGAAATAATATATTCTGAATATCAAGTGGAAAAATCGAAACATTGACATCGAAAAGCTATGAACGCAAATAATACATTTTAAATTTCAGTTGGCAAAAAATCCATTGAATGAGAAGGTCTATTAATGGATTTTAAGTATCAGATGAAGGAATCTATTAGCTAAGAAAATCTATTTACAGAAATAATGGATTTTAAATGTTAAGTGAAAGATTCTAATAACTGAGAAAAATCTATTACCTTAAAGAATGGATTTTAAATATCAGGTGAAAGAATCTATAAAAGGAGAGTATCTATTTGCAGAGAACAAGAAATAATGGATTTTAAACATCAGGAAGTATCAGTTCGGTAATTAACTAATTGAAACATTGCTTTTCTTATAGACATGAATAAATTATAAAGATTGATGATAATTTCAAAACTATTTCTTGAGACAAAATGAACCTAAATATTTTCACATAACTTTTTTCTAAAACAAATAGATGGATAAGAAAATGTTCATTGTTGGTCAAAAATGCTTTGTTATTATATGTTAATAATACTATCTTGGATTGGGATATTTTTTTTAGAAAGTTCCAGAATGTATTAAAAATGGAAACAAAATATTTATCTCGTGAACTTATTGCTCTGTGATTTCAAAAAAGATATCTGTGCTTTCAAGAAAGGCAAAATGCAGAAAAGAGAAGAAAAAAAATTTAAAATTTTTTTTTTTATTTTGTGTAAAAAAGTAAAATAATAGAAAAAAGAAGTTTGTTCTTGTAATTTTGCAAAAAAGAAGAATTAGCAAAAATTTTTTTAAAAAAATCCTACATTTTTTAGTTTTCTTTTTCAGTTAAAATGCAACTAACTGAAAGAAAAAAGAATGCAATTAACTGAAAGGAGACAGAATGCAATTAACGAAAATTGTATTAAATAATATATAAAAAGTTAATTTGAATAGCCCTATAATTTCTTTAAATTGCTTCCTTTTTTGCTTAAAAAAAAGGTAAACATTTTTTAATGTTAGTATTTATTAATGTAGTCATTTTAAGGTAGAAGGTACAGTAGATTAAAAAATTAAAATAAAATTTTAATTCTGAAAACTTATTGTTATTATTATTTCATTATAAGAAAAAAAAACTTTTTTTTTAGCCAAAATGTTATACACAAAAGAAAACTATACAATAAACAAACATTGAATAACATTTAAAACAAAAGATAAAAAATACCAAGTTAACAATTATTTCTATTTATTCTTTAAATAAAAATGCAAACGAAAAAAAAAAAAATTGGAGAGAAAACTATCACCCGCCTTTTTAACCTCAAGCTGTAGACAGAAAAACATTTCGATATTCTTCATGATAGCTTACAATTCAGAATGTCACCAAACGAAAGAAAGAAACAGGGGGGCAAAATTAAGGGGTGAAAGTGTGGAGAAGAGAGGAGGTAAAAACCCGCCACAAAAACAAAAGAAGAACAAAAACTCTCTCAGATTCGCTAATAGTGAAATCCCGCCCCCAAGGGCCGAACGATTCTTCAAAATCGTGCCTACGCCTCCCCCCTTTTCCACGCATCAATTGTCAGGTTTTCGCGGGATATGTTCCTTTCTCCGCCTTCGCTTGGTGCCAAAATTGACCGCTGGGGGGCGACAGTGTACGGAACGAGTGAGGGGGAGGGGCCATTTGTTGGCGTCTTGCAGTCGGCTTAGGAATATCCGATGTGTAGAACTTATCACCTTCTTCAACCGATATCACCATCGTCAGCTGAAAGTTGATCTTCGATTGCTTTGCTCGCTAGTTCTTCAACGCTTGCGGCTCTTTTTTTGTTTGTTTCGTTTTAACTATCCCCTCGAGCAGACGATAATTTGCATTTCTCGGAAATGGATGAAGAAAACGATTTTATAGCTGAGTACTATTATTGCAAAAAAAGGACAAGAGAAAGATATCAGTTTTTCTGACGAAAGTGTTTCTTAAAAGAAATCGTTTGCTAATATTTAATACTGATATTGGAAATAGAATAAAAATGAATTGATAAAGATATATGACTTAACACCATCATTTGCAAAAAAATGAATGAGAGAATATTTTACAAAAAGAACTGTGATTTGATAAAACTAACTTGACTGAGAAAATAAAAGATACCTTGATTTTTCTCGAAGCTATTTTAAAGTTCCTCAGATTTTCGAACTTGTATTTCTAACAACGTAAGCTAGTCACCATTAGTTCCTCACACCTATCCTTGTTTACCATGCACCTTCGTATACAAACATTGAATTAAGACATTTTTGGAAAAGAAGCATCAGATACTGATAATGACAATTTATTCAGTATCAGTATCAAGCAACTGATACATTTTTCTAGTCTCTCTAAGAACCAAACAATCGTCCTGAGTGGTAAAAGAATAAATGCGATTCGAGCCTGCTGATTTGGGACCCGGGATGGCCTTTCACCCATTCCTTCTGGGTCCGGGATCCCGGATGCCTATGTCCCAGTCGGACTTCAGCATGAGCTCAATCCTAACCCAACCGCACTACCTGACGGCGGCTCTTCAGAGTTTCAACCCGGCTCTAGCGGCCGCTTGCTACCCGCCACCCCCGGGTGCTGCCGCCGCGCTATTTCCGAAGCCACCACCGCCACCCCATCATATAACAGCTGAGGACGTTTTGGGCGCTCATTTGAGGGGTGGACCACCCCTCCGACCTTTAGAACCTGAAGATGATGGTATCAAGGATGATCCTAAAGTGATACTTGAGTCCAAGGATCTGTGGGATAAATTCCATTCTCTGAGTACTGAAATGATCGTTACTAAATCAGGAAGGTAGGAAAGATTTCATTCTATTTCTATGTTGAAATATAGTTTTTATATCGTTTTTAAGATAAATGAAGAATAGTCTGCTTTTTAAAAGTCGCGTCAATATATTTTGCAAGATATTAAAGCAGACGATCTTGGCATTTATTTGCCATGTTATAGAAAATAAAAATACTTTTCATTTTTTAAAAAAAAGTATTTTTGATTTGTTTGAATGACCCTTCCCTACTTTAAATTTTCTGTTTGTTAATAAAGTAACTTTTTTTAAATTTTTTTCTCTATTACAAAAGGAATTAAAAATCGTTTGCTTTTTAAAAATTATAACGATTTAGTAAGCTGTGATAGAAGCAGACGATCATTTATTATGCATTCTCCTTTTTAATTACCAAATTATTTATTTTATTTATTTATTTTTTGAGTAACTATTTCCTACTTTTTATTTTTCGCTTATTAAAGCAGTACTTTTTTTTCATTATTATATTTACTATAAAGTCAAACAATATTTCATATAAATAAACTTCTTTATTGGCGAACACAAACCATTTTTAAATACAATTTTCGTAACTAAGCATTGAATACTAGCTGATCGTAGTTTTAAATTTTTCTATGCCTACGAAGATAGCATTTTGGAATTTTAATTCTTCTCTCTGGAAATTTACTTTTTATGCTTCTGAAGTGTTTTTTTTTTCTTTTTTTTCCCCTCGCTATAGCGAAGAGAGAATTAGTATAGACTTACAGGGCTTCCAAATTTCTACGCTTTTTAGAAAAATATCTTTTAGTCTTTGTTTCTTCTTTAACTTAACTCTCTTCCTTTTAATTTCTTTTTCAAAGAATTTCTTCCTTTTAATTTCTTTTTCGTTTGATTTAAAGTTATTTTCTAAGCCACTACGTGCGAATGATTTAAAAGTTCATATATTCATTACTTTGTTCCGACTAGTTCAAAATATTACCTGCCAACTAATTCGCATTTTGTAAAATATTTCACAGAGCGGTAGACATTTGAAAACAGAAGCTTTAAAAATTTTTAGCAATTTCGCCAACATTTTAAAAGCTAGAGCAAAGTGGCGTTGCATATGAACTTTAAAATCATTTATTGTGTAGTGGTGCGGTAAATAAGTTTAAATGGATAAAACATAAATTTAGCTACTACTAGAATAAATTTTTACAAAAAGCTTAGAAACTTAGTATTACATTACTTTATTCCAACTTGTTCATATTACATTCATTTGTTTCAATTCTCTTATGGCAAGGCTTTTAATATGTTGGCCAAATTATGAAAGTTTGATCTCCAATTGTCTATCATTCCTTAAAACAATTTTCATTAAGCGTAGAAATTGACAGTTCTTCTGTTAACGCATCGATTTTTATGTGCATATTTATTCTGTGGAATACTGTGACTTTAAACATAACTCAAATCACCTGTATATAAATTTTCCTTCTTTTTCTTTTTTCTAAGAAAACAAAATTCCCTATAGTCAGGCAATATCTTGGATAATAAATTTTAATACTAACCATTTATTTGTAATTGCGCATTGATGTAAAGTAATGTAACGATTGATTCAAAGTCGTGCTTTCATATATCGTTGAAAAAATAATAAAGAATGAATTAATTCCTTCTTAATTCTATGAAAATGATAGTGTTTAGTTTAATTAATTATTCGAATGTATTCTAAGCAGCATGGGGACTATAAATATCATATAAAATGAAAAACCCTCATTTTTTTACTTTTATCGATCAGTAAGACAATAGTTTAAAAGATAAATTTCTCTATTATAGAATGTCAACCATTTGTTTGCAATTAGGCATCGATATAAGCGTTATATCGATTGATCATTAATGACGTTTTGATATACTGATTATAAGGGATAATGGATGAGTTTATTACGTTTAAATTCGTAAAGATGATTTTCCATGCATTCTATTAATTTATTTAAACATTTTTTGCATTGTTAAAGTTTTGTGAATTCAGAGACTGCAGAAGCTTAACTGAGTGTAAATTTTGTATCCTCGAGCGTATTTTTACTCAAAAAATTTCACTTGATTTCAAATGTGAGCAAAGAAATAATTAGTAACATTTCTTAAAGTGTTATTTTAATATTTTTTAAAAAAAAAAGATTTGTAAATGGAATAAAGGGGGACAAACACAAAACAAGTTTCTGTATAAATTACTATTTTTCGAAAAGGATTTCTCAACTGCGTATTAAAGAAAAACGTAATATTTATTTTAACATAAGTCTGCATATTTTAGATTATATTTAAATTGTTTCATTTTAATGTATTAAAATATGTGAAACTAAACTCATATATGATTAAGTATATTCAAAACTTGCTTACTTCTTCTTTGTTTTAAAAAAAATATTTTTGAAATTTAAGAGATTTCATATATTTAATGTAGTTTCCGTATTTGTACACGGAGTTAAAAAGTATAATGCTTTCTTTCTTTTTTTTACTATTATTTTTTTTATCTTAATTTATTTTACTCAATTGTTGAAGCCATTCAAATATTTCTTCAAAAAAAAAAAAAAAAANACTTCTTTTAAAAAAAAAAAAAAAAAAAAAACTTAGCTGCCATCTTCTACAGTCTTTGAGGGAAATTTTTGTTAGTGACAGCAACCCTTACGCTTTAGAATATAAATCTCGGCAGTGCTACCAACTTTCTGAGCTTTTTTAAAAAAATGATTCTAGTGGTACCTAGGTTTATGTTTTAATGCATCATTTTTTATTCTTTTAAACTTATTTTCCACTACATATAAATGATTTTAAAGTTCATATGCAACGCCACTTTATTCCATTTATTCCGTGGTGGGGCTTTTAAAATGTTTGCAAAATTCCCAATTATTCTGAAAGCTTTGGTTTTTAAATGTCTACCACTCTATAAAATACCCTGCAAAAAGCGTAGTAGTTGGGAGGCCTATCCTGGCTCTAAAAAATTTTTGCCTACCACGATAAAATAATTATTTGAAGCGTACTACAAACTTATAATTATTTAAAGCGTTGGTACAAACGTTCAGATAAACTTTTCTAGTGGTATTAAAATTTGTGTTTTTAATCGCTTGGAGGCAATGTTCCATTTTTAAAACATGTCTCCTTTTCAAAATGTTTTAGACTGGTAACTCAAATCTTTCATTCTTGCATTTTTAAAAAAAAGCTAAAAATTTCTATCAACCAGAGTTTTTTAATTATATATCATGTTATATGCATCATGTTCTTAAATCTAATGGATGTGGCAATTTACATAGATGCCAACTTCTTCGCATTCGAAAAAAAAAATTAAAAACAGGTGGATAATTACATTCTGATTTTTACAAATTTTCGGTTAATTTGCTAACTTTTCAAGACTCAATACAATACATGTAAAATTAGCGCGGTGTTGAGCTTGTTAAAAACCAAATGCCTGCAAGATTTAGGTTCTAATTCTTCCAGAAATCGGAGAAACTGCCATCCCTGAAAGCAATTACCATACCTGCCAACTTTTAATCCCTTCCATTATCATTTTCCCCACTGGTATTAAAATGGAATTAAAATTTCAATTTTAAGCAAAAAAATAAGTTGTATTTGAAAAAACTTAAGCTGACAGCCATGATAGTAACGCATACTAATATATGTGCTTAATTTTTTTAAGAATAGTGGTGATCAAAACCATTTGAAAATTAAGTTTATAAAAGAAAAAATAGTATATATTTACTACCACTTTAAATATGAAAATAAAATTTTACGCCAAATGCGTAAAAGTTGGCAAGTATGAATTACGCTTTAAGAATAGGGCTCTGTGGTTGGAAACGGAGAAAATTTTACCTGATTTGGAGTCGGAAAAACATGTTCAGCTACAACTCCGGTTTCATAAGAATTAGGTTCTTGAGATAACAAGATGAATCTAATCTGTTGATCTTATAAAAATTATTCAGAAAAATATTTATAGGTAGTATTTAATCCAAAATATTACTCATGAATATTATGGTTAACCAGTTATTATTTTTGCAACTTCTAATAAGCCAACAAAATTACCTCTTATTTATTTAAAATTTCCGTTATTTTTATAAAGAGAAATAAAAATGTTTAAAAAAAATTTAAATAAAAAGCATATTTATTTTTTATTCAATTCCTGGATAAGTATTTCTCATCGAGCTCATAAATTTGAGTTATAAAATAACATGATTCATGAATTAAGAATTGTTTTTCACCGATAACCATACTAATTATTTAAATCAGTTCTTAGAAAGAAAAAAAAAAAGAGAGATTATTTTATTTTATCTGTGTCGAATATTTCCGTATTTTACTAATTCTACTCACTGTCTAGTGTTTCAATTGTTGATTAAATATCTACTTGAATACTTATTTTCTATCTACTTTAATACTTATTTTGCTAAAACTTTCTAAAATCATTCCTTTACGGCCGAAACAGATATGGAAATTACTACACCAGGGAACAATTTTTTTTCTCCATTACATGAGATTTCTGAACGAATATTTAATATTTTTGAGCCGCTGATTTCGAATCTGCAATAGGTTTCTCTCTAAGTCTACCAGAGTTTTTTAAAAGTTCATTCTAAGAAATAGTTAATGACCCCACTTCTCCAGCACGCAGGGAATGGTAAGAAGAGGCCTATAATATTTCTCGGTTTATCATGCGATAAGTTAAGGCTGTTTTTCGAAAACTCCGTCGTAATATGAAATGATGCTTTTTTGCGAATAATATGCTATTTTTATAACTGTTGCAACTGTTACTCATGACTGTTAGGTTAAGTTTTGCCTATCTAAAGCTAGCTGTGTCTACGCTCATTTTCAAAATGGCGCTAAACACCAATATAGAGAAAAGCCACAGTTTTGTGAAAATGAAAACGTTTGTGATCTAATTTTATAATACGTAAAAACTATCTCCGATGCTGCATTACCCGGACTCATAAAAATTTGCAATAACTGAGAATAAGACAGTGATTTTGATAATTTTATCAAGGTGGATTTCTAGTTGGTGACTTTTAAAAAGTCTAATAACTTTTAAAATATTTAA